GAGGTCTTTTTCAGAGTCACTACTTCCCAGGATAGAGTCCTCTATCATATAAGTATGGCCTACATTCTTTGTTCCTAGATGTATACATTTACATTTAGCCATATTAAAACACATATTGTTTGCTTGCCCCCAGTTTACCAAGTCATCCAGATCACTCTGTATCAGTGACTTGTCACTTCATTACTTACCATTCCCCCAAAAGTAGCAGCAATGGGGATTCATCATCAAATGGGAGTGTCTCTAGTGTTGTTCTGCATGGACCAGTACTAAATGCACAACTATTCAACATTTTCATCAATGATCTGGAAGTAAATATTCAATCACTCTTGATAAACTTTGCATGTGATACAAAGATTAGCAGAGGGGTGAATAGTGATGAGACCAGGGCAGTCATAAAGAGTGATCTGGATTGGTTGGTAAACTGGGCCCATTCAAACAATATGTGTTTTAATACAGGCAAATGCAAAGTTATATATCGAGGAAAAAGGAATGCTGGGCTACACCTAAAGAACGAGGGACTGTATCCTGGTAAGCACTGACTCTGAAAAGGATTTAGGGGTCATATTGGGTAAACAATATGAACTCCCACTGTGGCAAAAAGGGTGACTGTGATCCTTGGATGTATAAACAGGGGTGTAGAAACAGGAAGGTGATTTTACTGCTGATTACAGCACTGATGGGACCAATATCTGAATTCTGCATCCAGTTCTAGTGTCCACATCTTTAAAAGGATGTTGGAAAATTGGAGAGTGTGCCGAGGAGAGCCACACAAATTATTTGAAAACTGGAACAAATTCCTTACAGTGAGAGACTTAAAGAGCTCCATCTGTTTAGCTGATCTAAAAGGAGACTGAGAGATGACTTGATTACGATGTATAAGTACCTTCATGGGAGAAAATACTGGGTACTAAAGGGATCTTCAGTATACAGAGAAAGACATAACAAGAACCAATGGCTGGAAGCTGAAGCCAGACAAATTCAAATTAGAAATAAGGCACACATGTTTAACAATGAGGGTGGAACAACTACTAAGGGAAGTGGTGGATTTTCTATCTCTTGGAGTATTCATATCAGGAGTGGATGCCTGCATGAAAGATATGCTTTAGTAATATACAAATTATTGGGCTTAACACAGGGGCAACTAGCTGAAATTTGATAGCCTATGATATAAAGGAGGTCAGAATGAATGATCATAATTCCCTGGCCTTAAAATGTATGAATCTATGAATACTTCCATGCTTGAATACAATTGTGAAGAATTACATGATACTGTGACCAGTCAGTATGGAGCAAGGCAAATCATGATGAATACCATGCCAGCTATCTCATTTCTTCACAACTGCATTCAAACAGAGTAACACGTTGTAATAATATAGATACACCCTAATGGGTTTAGCATAAGACAGGATGAAGTTAGGGGGAGAGGGGAGTGGGGTTTCCTGGGTGGGGGGCTATGGTTAGGGCGCAGTGAGGGGATGGGTTTTAGAGCTAGGGCTGGAAGCATTTGTCAGCCCCCAGCATTCAAAAATCATGAGTCAGGACCCAAAATAATGAGATTGGCCTAGAATATGACCTAGAATATGAGAGATTTTTTTAAAATAATAAATTTTGGATTCCTTTTCTTTGCCTTCCAGTTTTAGATTACACTGAAATCATATTTCCAGCTTTCCTCAGTAGCCATGAGGGTAGAAGCTTACTTTTTCAGAAAATGAAAGCTGAATTTCTCACCGCTCCAGGAGCTGGGGCTTTAAGAAAAACACCAAATATCACAAAACTTGACCACACTAGATTAGGGCCTAAAGGTAGAGGAAAGCTATGCTTTATTGTGCTATGGTGAGGTTGTGGGAGAGTTTTTGTGAGAGATTAGAATGAGTGTTTTTGGGGAGACAGTGGGAACGTCAGCTCGAGGGCATCTCAGAGTCTGGATTACACAGGAGACTTCCACAGGCCTCTTCCTTGTTTTAGGCTCACAGCTGCATGAAATCGAAGCAGAAAGGCAGCAGTACAATCTAGCAGATGAGATGAGTGAGGGGTAGGGATACAGAGCTAGGATAGAGACAGGATCACGTAGCTAGGATGATGGAGCTTCCTGGCTTTATCTGACTAATAATGAAAGGCAGCAAGCGTATCAGAGAGTGTGAGAGAAACGGATCAATAGAGAGATAAAACCTGAGATGGAAGGAGCAGGAGATGGGGTAGGGGAGAGAGTTATAAAATGTTGCAAATCCTACATTCTATACCCGCTATGTATTCACTTTGTGTTGGTGGAAGGGACTGCACAAGATGTAAAGCAATGGTGAATTAGGCCCAAATACAGAAACAGAAATAAGAGACAGAGATCTCTTGTTAATTCTGCCTTGTAATCTGACCACTGACAGCTCTTCCCCATCCCTTTCTGTCTTCCTAGAAACCCTGTTCTCTCTATATTCCACACTACTGTGGGGAGAGTGTCAGGAAACTGTTAACTCCAGTACCACAGATTCACAGCCTTTCCCCAATAAACTGGCCCAGCATGAGTCCAGTGTGATGCTCAAAAGAGCCCCACCCACTTGCCTTGTCTACATTAGGAGTTTACAGTGAGATAGCTATGTCCATTAGCTTGTTCATTGTAAAAACACACCTTTTTTCTATCACAGACATGGCCTAGTGAAAGCCCTTAACTGGGCTTTCTAATCATGTTAAGTTTCAGAGTAGCAGCCGTGTTAGTCTGTATTCGCAAAAAGAAAAGGAGTCCTAATGGCACCTTAGAGACTAACCAATTTATTTGAGCGTAAGCTTTCATGAGCTACTGCTCACTTCATCGGATGCAACATGTTAATCATGTTAAGCTAACTCAATTGAGCTAACACAATAGAAAAACACTATTTTTGCCCATATCCTAAATTAAACCACAAATATTTTTGTCCTTGAAGGTACATTTGTAGAGTGTCCAGATTAGCCCTTACAAATGTGTTAATTACCTCAATATAACTGGCAATCAATTAATTTGATGTAAAAATCTAGTGTAGGCATTCCCTGGGGGTGAGGAGCTCCAAGTGAGTTCCGTTCCCACCTGTGGGCAGGTGTATCATAATATATGGAATCACAATCCTTCTTCAAAAGGAGGTATTTTGTAAAGAAAACAACTACAGACACAAACAGGCTTGTATATTAATTTCAGTCCCAACTTTGTCTCCCTTATTTACCAGGACTGCTCCCTTTCTGGAACTGTATACAGCACACAGAGACATCTAGTGGCTGAATAATATACTGCAAGTAAATATATTTTACTATAGGGAGTAGGATCTAGTGAGCCAGATCAGAGGGAACTTGAGCCTTTCAACATTAGAAAGTTGTACCAATTTAACTACGTACCAGTATTGCTAAAGTTGTACAACCCTTTTACTGTGCATGCAGTTACATTAGGCTGTGTCTACATTGCCACTTTCAGCGCTAAAACTTTAGTCGTTCAGGGGTGTGAAAAAACACCCCCCAAGTGACAAAAGTTTTAGTGCTGAAAAGCACCAGTATAGACAGTGATTTGTTCGGCGTGGGGTTTTTTTTATCACCAGGAGAGCTGTCCCCCGGCGATAAAGCATATCTACACTCCCGATGTCATAGTGCTGCCTTGCGGTAATGAGGGCAGTGTAGACATACCCTTAGTATAGAGTTGCTTTATACTATACAAAAAGGGAAATAACTATTACAGATATAAATCATCTTTATTCCAGTGTAACTGTGTCCACACTATGGCTTTTATAAACCAAACCTAAACCTAAATAGTTATACCTATGACTGGGAGCCAGTAATGTGTTCCTGATGTTATGAGAGGGATAGCTCAGTGGTTGAGCATTGACCTGCTAAACCCAGGGTTGTGAGTTCAATCCTTGAGGAGGCCATTTAGGGATCTGGGAGCAAAAATTGGGGATTGGTCCTGCTTTGAGCAGGGGTTGGACTAGATGATCTTCTGAGGTCCTTTCCAATCCTGGTATTCTACGATTCTATGACCTTGTGGATGGAGGGGTCTAACCGTTACAAATGTAGCCTCCCAACAGGAGTTTTAGGAGTAAACAACTTAATCAGTTTAATGACAGGTTTCAGAGTAACAGCCGTGTTAGTCTGTATTCGCAAGAAAGAAAAGGAGTACTTGTGGCACCTTAGAGACTAACCAATTTATTTGAGCATGAGCTTTCGTGAGCTACAGCTCACTTCATCGGATCCGATGAAGTGAGCTGTAGCTCACGAAAGCTCATGCTCAAATAAATTGGTTAGTCTCTAAGGTGCCACAAGTACTCCTTTTCTTAATCAGTTTAAGAGAGTGATGGACAAATTAAGAATGTGATTATATGATGGCATTACTTGTAATGGGGGGAGGGAAGGAGTCTCAACATCCCTAGGGCTCACGTCTGATTTCTCTCTTATCGCCCTAAAACTCCTGCTTCAGGATTTTAACTGGCCACTGGCAGGGTCAGGAAGAGATTGACCCTCCCTCTCATGTTTTCTGGGACGGATTTTTTTTAATCTCTTTCTTCCAAAGCATCAGGGATAGTCATAGCTAAGATGGGACATTTGGCAGGTGGTCAGGGCTTTGAGGTGGTACCAAGCATTCCTCTCTCTCAAATGCTTGATTCCCTGGTTCTTCCTCACATGCTCAGGGTCTAAATGATCATCATATTGTGGGGTCAGGTGTTACCCGCACAAAACTCTCTGTTACACACACTCTAGGGCACTCACCTTTACCCTTCCGTGGGCTCAAGGCATAACCCAGTTAATTTAGGCACCCTAACCTTTTCCCAGTTCCTAGGGCTCCTGGTATAAGGCACCCAACTTTACCCCTCCATGGGCTCCGGGATCTACCTCTCCGTGGGTTCAGGGTATAACACCAATTCCCTGTGGACTTAGGGCTCTACGAGTATACGGGGTCTTTTACCAGTGAAAGAGCCTTACACAGGAATATCCTTAACCTCTATTTATTAACAGTCACCAAAGCAGAACACACACGCTAAGCATACAATGCTCACCACTCCCAATAAGGCGGATGAACTTTTCCTGCTGGCCAGTCAGGATCAGGTCATCCGGGGACTCCAGCTTCTGCATAGTGTGATTGGCAGGATGTTGAGGTCTGGCAGCTCTGATCCTGGGGCTGTGCCCTGGAGTTGGTTCCAAAGAACTTCCTTTTGGACCTCAGTTTATACAGTGAAATTTGAGTCCTGCTTAGCTATATCTTAACCAATCATTTTATTAAATATTACTAAACAAATTTCTAACCAATCCTAACATATTGTAAAACAATTCTTTAACCAATGATACCCCACTGCCATAGTTGATTTATACCTAGCAAAATTAGTTATGTAACAGAAAGAAACAATCAAAGAACCAGACAGAGATCATACAGACAATAGAGAAGTGGGGACCATAAAGACAAAACAATAAAGAAGTAGGGATTTTGCAACCACCACTGTTGATGATGATTTAGTTGGGGATTGGTCCTGCTTTGAGCAGGGGTTGGACTAGATGACCTCCTGAGGTCCCTTCCAACCCTGATATTCTATAAGTGATTTCTTGCTACAGAATGCTATCAAAGTTTTCCTTAGAATCATAGAATTAACCTTCTTATGATCTGTTTCAGAGTAGCAGCCGTGTTAATCTGTATCCATGAGAAAGAAAAGGAGTACTTGTGGCACCTTAGAGACTAACAAATTTATTTGAGCATAAACTTTCGTGAGCTACAGCTCAGTTCATCAGATGTAGCTCACAAAAGCTTATGCTCAAATAAATTTGTTAGTCTCTAAGGCGCCACAAGTACTCCTTTTCTTCTTAAGATCTGTTTCTTTATTTGGTGATGGTGGTTGCTATTAGGACAGGATCGCCTTCTTAACAGCCCAATATTACATTGTTTTAATGTAATTTAGATGGAATGTGAGGATGTGACTTAGTGCTTCTTGGCTCATGGCTACTGCTCTCCTAATATGGCTGCAGGAAAAGACCTCAGCCTTACACAGGAAGGAATTTTCCCCCAGGTCAGATTGGCAGTGACCTTGGGGTTTTTTGTTTTTGCCTTCCTCTGTGGCGTGTGTGCAGTTCAGGCAGGGCTGTCCCTACCAATGGTGGTGCCCTACCGCAGCCCCAGCACCTGCACCCCCCCGTGGACAGACCGGCCGCTCTGCTGGGGGGCCGTCCCCTCCGCGGGGCGGGGAGGCTGCGTTTAAGGGCTGCAGGGCCCCAGCAGCAGGAGTTGTGGGGGGCAGGGAGGCCCAGGGCAGCACGGGGGTTTAGCGGGGGGCCTAGCGCTAGCAGCAAGAGTTGGGCCCGCCCCCCACTCACCGGTGGCAGCGGGAAGCAGAGTGACCCAGACCCAGCCTGCTTCGCTCCCCCAGCTCCCACCCCTGTCGCTAGAGGAGGGAGCTTGGAGGAAGGGGTCAGAGACCCGCCCCCACACTCACCAGCGGCGGCGGCGGGAAGCGGAGCAATGCGACTGGGAGCTGGCACAGCGGTGCGGACTGGAACCGGGTCGCTCTGCTTCCTGCCGCCGCCGCCGAGTGCAGGGGCGGGTCTGACCCCTCCTACGGGTTCCAGTACCCCCCCCTAATCCCGGCGGCGGCATCGCTCGGGGGAGGGGGCTTGGGGGAAGAGGTCGAGTGGGGACAGGGCGGGTGCGGAGCAGGGGGCTGGCTGGGGGATGAGGCTGGCCGCTGGAGCCAGCGCCGTATATGCAGTATGCAGCTGCCTAGGGCACCAAGAAATTTGGTGCCCCAAATTACGTGGTGCCCTACGCAGCTGCATATTCTGCGAATGCCTAAAGACGGCCCTGTGTGCAGGTCACTTGCCAGAATTACCTGGGCATGTGCCATTTAATCATTTCCCTGACACTGCAGGGAAACCAGGCAGTTGTGCACCTTGGTCCCACTCCCTCCTAATCTCTGCCTGTGGCAAAATAGTCTGCTCTCCTGTGGGCTGTAATATTTTTGTCTAATTTTGGTTATTTAGTTTAGTCTGCAGGTGCTGGGTGGTGTTGGTGACCTGTGATATACAGAAGATGATCTGGTGGGCCCTTCTGGCCCTAACCTTTGTGACTCCATGACTAGGTGTCAGGACGCCTGAGTTCTATTTCCTACTCTGGGAGTGGGTTGATATCTGTCCCTGTTGTTCGGGAGAGGAGTTTTGGTGAATGGGGGTTCATTACATTGGTTTAGTTTAGACTAAAGATCTTGGCTCTGTGGGTAAGGTTGCCACCTGCCCAGGTTTTCACAGGATCGTCCCTTTTTTGAAGTAGGTGGCCTGGGAAATCAGTAAAGGTGCTCAGTAAACACTGCCAGCTGGCCAATTTTGTGGGCTCAGGATCATCCCTGATGTCCTGGTGTTTTGTACCTGAGAGGCAGCCTTGTCCATAGGAAGTTTTTCCTGATATCAATAATATAGAAAGTAAGCAATGCCATCATCATCATAGCTAATCGCTCCCCAAACCACAGCCCAGAGCTGGTGTTATCACTTATCGCAAATAGCTCCTCAGGAGTACAGGCTGTTGACAGAGGGCACTGCGTTAGGCAGCATTTAAATGTTTGTCTAGGCTCCCCACATTCACATGTGGGGCCTTTCCTCAGCTTCCATGTGGTTATATTGTCACCCGTCCAGGCTATGCCCTCCAGCTCTGGCTCAATGTAGGGTGCTAGTGCAGGTGCTGAGAGCCATTGAACCAAACTGTAAACCCTGTACAGGATGGAAACCACTTCAAGTCGACACCCCTAGTTCCAGCACCTCTGGGTACAGCAGTGTTTTGTCTGAGTCCTGGAGGAATCAGGTGCTCTAAGATCATAGACATTTCCCTCCATTTTGTTACTCTGCAGCATTCTACAGCGGCGCTTTGGGGACTGTCAGAGCCAAAGCTCTGGCTGCACGTCAGCCTTTTGGGTGGCGGAACGTATCCCTGCAACAGGGCTCTGAGCTCACACTGCGCTTCGCGTCTCTCCTCGCGCTGCTTCAGCGGGCTGGAGCACATCCCGCAGCGGCCCTACTGCACCAGTGTCACTCAACCAGCCACAGACACGCGACCAATGGCAGAGCGGTGGAGGCGGGACCAGAGAGGGAACCCGATTCCTCCTCTCCCCCAGTGGACAGAACCAATGAAGGGGGAGGGAGAAGAGAAATGTGTTGTGGGCGTGGCCTGGGGCTCTATGACGTCAGAAACCCGGACGTGGCCTCTCTTGGGAGGGGGGGTACCCTAGAGGGGGAAAAACAGCCCTAGGTGCGGGGAGGCCTGAGCTCCCCGCCGGCAGGTACGAGCCCGACTGAGTGGTGCTCACGCGCAGCTCTGCAGCCTGGGGGCGGGCCCACAGGCGGCGCAGGGGCCCGGGAGCGTCTGCTCTGTCCAGAGCGCTCCCGCCCCGAGCTAAGGCCCTGCCCCGGCCCTTTCTCCTCCCCTGCCCCGCTTGTCCCCACAGCGCTGGTGGGGCCGGGCCGGGCGGCATGGCAGCCGAGGTGAAGGTGACGGGGCAGAGCCAGGAGCAGCTCCTGTTGCTGGCCCGGTCGGCTCGCGGGGCGGCCCTGGTCAGCCTCATCCACCAGGTGCTGGAGGCGCCCGGTATCTACGTCTTCGGGGAGCTGCTGGATCTGCCTAACGTCCGAGAGGTGAGCGCCGGCTCTGCGGGGGCTGTGCTGCAGGGGCTGGCGAGGGCATGGTGCGCTGCCCGGCGGGAGGAGGGCCCCAGGGCTCGAGTGGTGCAGGCGGAGCTGGGTCAGGTCGCTTCTTGCCAGCCCAGCACAACTGTGAGCCGCTGGTTGGTCGGAATCCCTGGTGTTATCCCGGGAAACTGCAGCTCAGCCTGCTGCCATAGGTGCTGGAGCTAGGGATGCTGGGGGACCTGCCGAACTCCTGGCTGAAAGTGGTTTCCATCCTACACAGGGTTTGGTTCAATGGCTCTCAGCACCCTACCGGTGCAGATGGTTCCAGCACCCCAGCTGCTTCCCGAAATCTGCTCCTGCCGCTTTAGTGGGGTTTGTTTAGTTTCCCTAAACTCTGTGCTTGGGGCTGTGGAGCATGTTAAGCAACTGCCATTCCACCCCTCGTGCAGCTGTGTTTTGGTGGGTAGCTGAATCAGTCACCGTTACCTAGATTGAAAAACACTTGGGGCCTGTTGGCTGGGAAAAAAGCAGGGAAATGGGAGTTGTGTTAGACGTGTCCCACTGTGCCCTGGAACTGGGGATAGGGGTTAGGTTGTAGTGTGCAAAGTTTCATGCTGTTTTTATTGAGTGCTTTTTCTCCCCTGCAGCTGGCTGAAAACGAGTTCTCCTCCGTCTTCCGTCTGCTCACCCTCTTTGCATACGGGACGTATGCTGATTATTTGTGTACGTGTGTCATTCTCTTATAACCCCCATAGCCTAGTGCTCCAGGATGTGGGCCAACACCTGCAGTTGTCTCCTAGGAAGCAGGAAAGGTGGATAGGATTGCCAGCTTTCTAATTGCAGAAAACTTTACACCCCTACCCCTTCTTTGAGGACCCACCCCCTTCATTCCATCCCCCGCCTCCGTCACTTGCTCTCCCCCACCCTTGCTCACTTGCTCATTTTCATTGGGCTGGCTCAGGGGGTTGGGGTGCAGAAGGGGGTGTGGGCTCTGGGGTGGGGCTGGGGATGAGTGGTTTGGGGTGTAGGAGGGGGCTCTGAGCTGGGGCTGAGGGCCTTGGGGTATAGGAGTTAGCTCTGGGCTGACTGGAGACTAAGAGGAAAAGGGGGCGCAAATAGCACAGGGGCTTCAGGTGGGCTAGAAATGCAAAACAGCTCAGTGAAATTTTGGGTATGCATATGCAGAGGCCTCACATTCCAGAGCAGGGAGGGAATAGTTTTTCTCTCTACAGCTCTGGGGAGACCCCACATAGGATACTCCTCAGTACTGGACCCTTCAATCTCAGAAAGATAGTGACATATTGGAGAGGGCTCAAAGAGCTACAGAAATGCTCAGAGGGCAGAAGGGGTCCTGCAAGCACCATAGCTGGTAGATAGAGCATTGGCCTAGAACTCTGAAGATTGGGATTCTGTTCTAGGCTCTGCTACTGGACTTGCTGTGTGACCTCAGGCAAGTCACTCTTCCTGTGTTGTGTCCCTTCCTACTCTTTATTTATCTTGTTTATCTAGACTGGAAGTTCATTGTGACAGAAACTGTCTCTTACTATGTTTGTGTGTAGTGGCTCGCACAATGCGAGCCTATCTTGTTCGGGGTTCTAGATGCTACTGGAATACAAATAACACAGGGTTGAGTTCTGGGCAGAGATTCCAAGAGTTCAATCCTTGCATTTGACTTCCTGGCTGTGGTGAGGTGAGGAGCGGTGGGGGTGTGTGTGGGGTGGTTATGAGAACCATCTGCTGGTGGTTTGGGGTGTGGACCTTGTGGAGGAGAGGGGATTATTTAGGGATCACCAGAGGAGTAAGGAGCAGGACTAAGGCAAGGGGAAGGAGCTCAGGAACACTTCCTCCATGCTGAGGGGTGTGAGCACTTTA